AATGTATAGTTTATAGTCCTCTTCAGAGTAATAAAGGAGTAGGTAGTAATTATCCTTATATCCATATCAAGGGGTAATTAAGCAGAGAGATATTAAATTAGGATTTTGTTTTTGTTCCTAAAGCGCTTTGTACTGAACAAAAAAAAACCTTCACATGCACCCTGTCACCCTGCCTGGGCAGGGATGCTCAGACCCATTTCACTGAGGAAGGGAAGCTCTAGAGGGGTGACTTACCTGGAGGAGACACAGGCACGTGGGAATCTGCACCACAGCCCCAGAAGGATCCAGTTTACCCTGATGGAATCATCCAGCCTCAAAGGAGGGTTCTCCCAGAGGTTGGCACTTCCACAGGCCTGGCGACAGGCAGAGGACAGGTACTTACCTGTGGCTGTGGAGCTTTCCATGTGTATAGTGTCATGTTATGATACTCATGAGTATATTGTGGGTTTTGTCCATGGTTCCTGGCTCATAACTCCCACAGCTCTTGTTCTAACCTTCTCTTTTTCCCCTGCCTTTCTGTCTTGGAGTTGGCCTTAACAATAACCTCTGACCTACTTTACCTGATTGTAAGTCACAAGACCACCATTCCAGAAGGCATCCTGCCCCATTCCCAGAAGGAAGGAATGCTGCTGCACAGAGAGGCCAAGAAGAATCTGATTAAACAGGCACTGCTGGGTTGTGCCTTCAGTCTGTTACTGTTAGATCATACCCTTTTTGTCTAATCACATTTCTACACGGTCATCCATGCTTCAATCATGCCTATGTAATAAAGCTTAGAAAAAACCCAGCATAACAGGGCTCAGGGAGCTTCCGGATAGCTGAACCCGTGGAGATTCCTGGAGGGTGGTGCACCCGGGGAGGGCAAGAAAGCTCCACGTGTGTCTCTTCATCTGTATCTTATTAATATCCTTTATAATAAACCAGTAAATGTGAGTGTTTCTCTGAGTGGTTGTGAGCCACTCTAGCAAATTAAGCCCAAGGAGGGGGTCATGGAAGCCCTGATTTACAGCCGGCCAGTCAGAAGCACAGGTAAAATAACCTGGGGCTTGTGACTGGCATCTGAAGTGGGGCAGTCTTGGTGACCGAGCCCTTAACCTGTGAGATCTGACGCTGTCTCCAGGTAGACAGTGTTGGAATTGAATCAGAGGACACCCAGTTGGTGTCCGCTGAAGAACTGCTTGGTGTGTATGGGGAAAAAACCCCACACATTTGGTCACAGAAGTCTTCTGTGTTGATTGTTGCTGAGTAAAAGTATAGGAAAAACACTTTACTTTGGCTGGGTTTTTTTCCTATATATACTCAACAGATTTCCTTGAGGATCTCAATAGCTCATCTGAAAGCATTTTTAAGTCTCCACTGCTGGGGTAGATGGATGAACGCTACAGGTTTGAAAATAGTTGGTCATTCTCCTAAATCTTAATTTTCTTTCTCTTCCTTCTCTCCTAGGATACAGGAAGTATTTAAGTATTAAAGACTTTTCAAAGCCAGAACTCCACCCTGATCACACAGGTCAGGATGTTCAGGAAGAGCCTCCTGGGGTTCCCACTGCTTGGCTGTAACCAGACACTTTCCCCACAGCCTGGGGAACTGCTCCCAGAGGATTTGCCCCACATTTCCCAAGGTCCAGGAGGTACACTCCTGTCACCTCTGGGCCTAGAGGAGTGGATGGAGGCAAAACAAGAAGAAGAGTACTTCGTCATAAGCAGATAGAAGCGTTCCCTAGCGCCTGGGCCAACCCTAGCCCTGACCTGATTACTAAAGAATAGGGAGATTCCTTTTCAAAGTGGAGTGTCCAGAAACTTGTTTACATAACACTGTAAGTACTGTGGGCACACAGCTGTTATCTGTAAGCACTCATACCTGTTAAGGAAACATGAGCTTTACCTTCAAGCTCTCCCTGCTACACATCTTTTAAACCCCTCAATCCTTTTTATGTCAAAAATAGTCCCAAGGCAATAGATGCATATGTATTTATACACATCCTCCACACATATCTGTACAGAAGGTCTGGAGGATAACACTGGTCACCACAGTGACTAGGGGCACCACCAGGTTTAGGAAACCACTGGAAAAGGCTTTGGAACTTTGATTGAAATCTGGACGATCCGTTTCTTAGTGATGGTCTCTCTCTCTTTTTTTTTTCCTTTTTGTCTTTTTTTTACTGACCGGCAACGGGATCGCAACCCTCGTTGTTGCGCCCGCACCGCGCTCAGCCAGTGAGCGGGAACTGGTCTCCACATGGGATCCGAACCCCCGGCGGGAGCGCCGCCACGCTCCCAAGCGGCGCACTCTCCAGTGCGCCACCGGGCCAGCCCGATTAGTGATGGTCTCTTAAAGAAGTTTCTTAACCTTCCTCAGACTCAGTGTCAACTAGGAAAAGGGAGAATGATATCTGCCTTGCAGGATTGTCATAAAGGCCAGAGACAATACACCTCATATGCTGGCACACAGCACACACTCAGTAAGTGCCAGCTATGATTATTACTCCTGCAAAAGTGGATAGTTGCCAAAAGGCCATCCATCCATCTTCCCATAGCCATAGAAACTGCCTTTTGTTGAAGGAGAGAAGAGCATCATTCATCATTCTCTAGTCCTAGTTTTGCATTTGAGTCTCTGGAGAACAACTCTAGCCTAGGAGGCTTTTAGTTCCTGGTGGGGACCAAAGTATGATGGCTATTCTCCATCTGCTCCATGCCCACCCCATTCTCTACCTGCTCTGTGCCCTGGCGACTGACCTCTGTAGGCTGCCTCGCCAGGGCTTCATGCTCTTTGGCTTCCGGCTGGGATCTGCCATCTGAGTATTTATTGCCCCCATCTCCCTACTTCGGCAAATCTCTGCAGTGGCTCTGTTGTGCCTATAGTCACAGCACCTGTGAGGCAGCCCCTCCTCTGTGATTCCAGCTCTTGCTTCCTCTGTAAGCAGTCCCTTCATGAAACTCTCTCCAGAAAAAACCCTTTCTAGGGTACCATCTGCATCCTGCTAGAATCTCGACCAAAGCAACTGGGGAGGAGGCTTTCTTGACGTGAATTATAACACTATTAGAATGACTTTAGAAAAGGAGATGCTAAAAATAATTATAAGCTCTGGAGACAGATGAACAATGTCCAGTTCAGCCGAGGACTCTGATTCTCATCACTTGACCCTCTAAGAATTAAAGCAAATTTTACCTAATAAGAAAGTGGAGAGGCCGCTGAAAAAACAGTCTGAACTTAGAGAACTTGACTTTTCCTTTTGCAGGGGGCCCATTCTGCACCTCTCTGAAGCAGTAAGAACTCTGCCACAGGAAAGGGAAGAGTTTCGTTCTTGGTGATCATTTACTCTGTGTCAGGCATAACTTGTCTCACTTGGAGCTGAAAACAACGTGGTGAGGTAAGTACTATTATTATCCCCATTTTTCAGATAAGGAAACAGAGTCATAAAGATAGTAAGGACCTTTCCCAAGTAAATGGCAGAACAAGGATTTGAACCTGAGCTGTAGGACTCCAGGGTCTGGGCACGCTTAACCAATGCACACCCCACACCTCCATACCCTTGTAAGGCTTGGAAAGGAGGCCATGACCACAAGAGGCAGACCAGGGAGACCAGCTCAGCCTCTCTTCCTAACAGCCTCAGCTACTGACGGGGACTTCCCATCCAGGAGACACTCTCCACAGTGGAAATGGGGTTGTGGGTACATATTTCAGCCACTGACCAGGATCATCAGCCACGGAGACTAACCAGAATTGAAGGAGTGTCTGTGACAATGCTACAAAGAATTGTGGCTTGAGGGCCGGCCCGGTGGCGCACTGGATAGTGCGCCGCTTGGGAAGCGCGGCGGCGCTCCCGCCCGAGGGTTCGGATCCCACTTGCAGACCGGTTCCCGCTCACTGGCTGGGCGAGGCGCGGGAGCAGCGCCGAGGGTTGCGATCCCGTTGCCGGTCCCCAGTCCGGTACGGGGGCAACACTGAGGGTTGCGATCTGTTGCCAGACACGGAAAAAAGACAAAAGACAAAAAAAAAAAAAAAAAGAATTGTGGCTTGAGAAAAGAGAGTCTGTGATAAACTAGAATTCTCTGCAATATTATCAAATAACAAACCAAATCCTGTCTGAACCCTTTAGTCTGTAAGAGGGATCCCTCTTTGTTCCTGTAGAATGTAATACCACACAGCAGGAGAGCAAATGCTACCCTAATTTGAAAAATGACCTGGAGACAAACTCCTAAACAACACTTTTGAGAAAGAAAAGCAAGCACTGTTGACACACTGCAGAATTTAACCCACAGAGAATCTAGCAGTAACCCTACCACTTTCAGTGGAAAACAATCCCTTGGGCCAAATAACAAAACACCAAGAACATACAACATCTTTCCAATGACATCCCAAACCTCTCCCATAATACAGAGCTTGTTGGAGGCTCCTATTCCACCTGCAAGGGAAAGCCAGCATTCCATCCTACACCCACAGCAAAGTTTAGCAAGTGGACCGTGGGACACTACAAACTGACTTATTGCTCAATTAAGGCACAACAGAATAAACATTTAACTGTAAAATGATCTGTAGTCTGGATACAGTGGCTGAGACCTGATTCTCATTCTGATTCACATAACATTTTACTTTTTCTCTGCTTAAATCTACCTCCCTCTTGCTGAAGAGGGAAGATGTGTGGGAGGTGGGATGAAAGATTCAGTCTTGTGCATATTACCCATAGGTCAGTAATCCAAGGAGAAAATAAATTGGCAGGGAAGGGCACTTGTACCAAACAGCCAGAAAATAACACATCATGATATATTGTCAAATGGTCTCCCAATATGAATAATCTGACAAGCAATCAGCCAATCTGTTTATACATTTTTTCCTAATGCAATTTCAAACCACTCTGGAGTTCAGCTTTTTGACTGGATGACTACACCTGAGCTTACTCTGCAAAAAAGCTGGCTGCAGGGATTTTAAGAGGAACATAAGAGAACCTGGGAACACCGAAAGTGATTTGCAAAGCCCTGTGGCTTGCAGCTTTGTCTTACCAGTGGAGTCAGCCCCAGAAGCCCTGCCACTCATCTGCTCCTCAGCATGGATGAGCTGCAGGTCTGTGTATGAAGGGCCCAAACTAGGACTGCTGGTGTCTTCAGAATGGGTTGTCCAGCTGCTCTCAGAGGTCAGAGGGCATCTCCCCAGGGAGTCAAACGAAGGGCATGTCCAGCAGGGCATGGTCAATGATGAGGCTGGGGACAGACAGAAAGCCAAAAGTATAAAATATAAATAGTTGTACTTTGTTTCAGTGCTTATCTTACTTTGATGGTGCTCGGATCCTATAAAATCTCAACAACCTCTATCTTTTAACATATACAAAAATCAACTCAAAATGGATTAAAGACCTAAATTTAAGACCCAAAACTATGACAGTACTAGGAGAAAGCATAGGGGAAATGCTACACGAAATGGGTCTTGGCTCTGCTTTTTTGAGCAAGACTACAAATGCACAGGCAACTAGAGCGAAAATAGACAAATGGGGCTACATCAAACTGAAAAGCTTCTGCACAGCAAGGGACACTTTCATCAAAGTGAAGAGACAACCTACAGAATGGGAGAAAGTGTTTGCAAACTACACATCAGACAAGGGGCTAAAATATCCAGAATATATGAGGAAATCAAACAATGCAACAGCAAAACAACAAATAACCCAATTAAAAATGGGCAAAGGACCCGAACAGACATATCTCAAAAGAAGATGTACAAATGGCCAATGAGCACATGAAAAAACGCTCAACATCACTTAGCATCAGGGAAATGCAAATTAAAACCACAATGAGATAGCATCTCACTCCAGTTAGAATGGCTACTATCAAGACAGAAAATAAATGCTGGCAAGGATGTGGAGATAAAGGAATGCTCCTACATCGTTGGTGAGAATGTAAATTGGTACAGCCACCATGGGAAACAGTATGGAGGTTCCTCAAAGAACTAAAAAGAGATCTGCCTATGGCCCAGCAATCCCATTACTGGGTATACACCCAAAAGCAATGAAGTCAACCTATTGAAAAGACACCTGCACTCCCAAGTTCATTGCAACACTATTCACAATAACCAAGAGATGGAATCAACCTACATGCCCATCAGCAGATGAATGGAGAAAAAAAAAAAAAAAAACTGTGGTTGTTCCTCAAACAACTACAATAGAACTGCCACACAATCCAGCAATCCCACTGCTGGGCATATACCCAAAGTAATGGAAATCATCATGTTGAAGGGATACCTGCACTCCCATGTTTATCACAGCTCTATTTACAGTATCCGAGAGTTGGAATCAACCTAAATTCCATCAGTGAACAAATGGATAAGGAAAATGTGGTATATATACTCAATGGAATACTACTCAGCTATAAAAAAGAATGAAATTCTGCCATTCACAGCAACATGGATGAACTTAGAGAAAATTATGTTAAGTGAAATAAGCCAGGCACAGAAAGAGAAATACCACATGTCCTCACTCATAAATGGGAGCAAAAGAAAGAAAGAAAGAAAGAAAAGAAAGAACAATAACAATAATACATTAAACTTTCAAAAAAAGAGAACAGAACTGTGGTTATTAGAGATGGGAAAGGGGGTTAGTGAGAAACTGGTTAAAGGTCACAAAGACTAATCATGTTTTATAAACGAGTACACTAAATTATCCTGATTTGATCACCACATATTGTACACAGGTACTAATAGTCAAATCTGTACCCCACAAATACATATAATCAATTATGTTTCAATAGAAAAACTGTCAAAAAAACCCCACTGTGTTTTTTGGTATAAAAAGGTAGGTATAAAAAGAAGTGATATCCTATCATTTGCAGCAACATGGATGGAACTGGAAACCATCATGTTAAATGTAGTAAGCCAGGCACAAAAAGACAAATATTGCGTGATCTCACTAATATGTGGAATCTAAAAAAAAAAAAAAGAAAGTGGTTCTCATAGAAGTAGAAGGTAGAACAATGGTTACCAGAGGCGGGGAGGGGGAAGAGAAGTGGGGGACTAATGGTTACAAAGCTATGCCATCTGCCCTAAGTGAACCATTGTGCAGCATATGCATGTATTGAAACAACACACCGTACCCACAAATATGTTCAAGTAAATGTTAAAATTTAAAAAATAATAAAATAATATCTCAGCAGCCATACAAAGCGAGGAAATATAGGAAGTATCACTCGTGATACAGACAGGGAAAACTGATGGACTGAGACCTCATGGTGAGTCGGTATAAAAGCCAGTATTAAAACTAAGGTTTCAGGACCCTCAAATCAAAGAAAATCTCACTAAAGGAATATGAATTACTTTAAGGTCTAATTTTATTTCTAAATTTAGATTTCAGCTTCATTCAAACTACATGAGTCTTGAGTTTCACCCTTACCCTTACATTTCTTCCATTTTTGGAGGCACACCAATAATCTCAAGAAAACTCAGCAATTTACACTGCAAATTCAAAGCCCGTTTGGGTTAAGAGATAAGAGTATATTTGACTATATGTGTACATGCACATGATATGCATCTGCTTGCTTTGAGTTCCATGGTAACTGGAGATTCTGCAGACAATTATACATACAAATGGAGATTTATTGGGGCTGCTGACCTGCAGGCAATAAGATGAAAATCTTTAAGGGGGAAATGCACAGGGCTTGGCTTTATCTCCCTAACCCTGAGCACCAGATCAGCCATTCAAAACCACTTTAGAAAGTAGTTTTTTAAAATCAAACTTTCAAATTCCCCTAATTTGTCTTTAGTTAATTTCCTACTACGACCTTTCTCCATGGTGCTGCATAAAAATCATATCACTGCAAATTTACCAAGTACTGAAAACAAGTGCCAAAAAGAGTGTGGATAGGGAAGGAAGAATGAAAAAGAAAGAAATTACCATATTTATTGAGTACTCATCAAATGTCAGGCACTTTTACACATATTATCTTGTTTCATCTATCAATCCTGAGAGGTAGGCAGTAGTCTTATTTTGCAAAGGGAGAAATACACTAAGTGAGGTAAGAAACTTGCCCAAGATGGTACAGTCAGTTTTTCTGGCTAGAGAACCAACACTGTAGCGTTGGATTAAGAAATAGAAAGAGAAAATAGAGATTTAAGAGAGAAGAAAGAATAAATAGCAATACTTGAGATATAATATAAATAAAAAACTAAACAGAATTTTCATCCCTCATTTTCTTAGGCATTTATAAAACATGTAGGTCTTTTCTCTGGAGTGCTCATAGCTCATAATTCCTTTTCTTTAAAAATGTCACACTCTCTGCAAGATATTCCTGAGCTATTCTCTCCAATGAAGAATAGGCCCCCTTCTCTGCTTTATTTCTCCTTACCATTTTCACTGTCTAATGTGCTACATGTTCATGTCTTCCCTAACAGAATTCAAGCCTCATGAGGGCAGGGATTTTGTTCCCTTCTGTACCCCCATTCCCAGAATAGTGCCTGGCGCAAAGCAGGCAATCACTTACTACCTACCGGTAATGTCAACAGAAGAACCACAAATCATTCCATATATTAAATATAGACTGTTAAAACTTAACTGGTACCTATAAAATCCCCACACAAACATAAAAAAATTAAAACACCAAAAAAGAAGAAAAATAAAATTAAAACTACTAAAAATAAAAAAGCAAAGCTGAACTCATAAAATCTTATTATAGGACTCCATTTCTTACAGTATAGTGGATTAGTGCTATGGACTGATTGAATTGTGTCCCCCAAAGTTCATATATTAGAAGCTTAATTTCCACTATAACTGTTGAGGGAGGGAAATCCTATTTTCGTAATTGAAAGGTGGGGACTTGAAGAGGTGATTAGATTGTAGGACCATGCCATAGTGAATGAATTAATAATGGTGGTCAGGAGCATGGTTCTGAGGGCTTTAAAAAGAGAGTGAATGAGGAGGTTAGACTCTCTCTCTGCTACACCATTCTCTACTAATGTGAGACCCCCACATGGCTGTAAAACCACTACCAAAGAAGGCCCATCTTAAGTGCTGCCTGGACTTTGGGCTTCCCAGCCTCTGAAACTGTAAGTGATAAATTTTGTTTTCTTTATAAATTACCAGTTCCAGGTATTTTGTTATAAGCAACAGAAATGGACTAACACAATTAGATACTTTGAACTACTGTGGAAATAAAATTAAAATATTAGGTAAAATGTATTAATATTATTTAAAATACATCACAGGGCTAGCAAGAAAGTAAAGAATTACCAGAGGCCAGGTGAAAGCTGGAACCCAGGAACAGTATACAACCTGATTTTCACATCCTGAGAATTTTGAACAAACCAGAAAAACTCTTGAGTTTGAATTTTTTAAACCTCTTGTGAAGAAGGTAAAAAAGAAAGAATCTCAGGCAAACTCAAGATATAAAATCTAACAGAGGATCTGATACATAAAGCAAGAATTCCCAAAGGCTTAAGGGGTAAATTAGGAATAACTCCCACCCTCACACTGGAGATAGCAAAGAAAATTGTCTGCCTTAGGCCTGGATGCAGGGTAGAGGAAAAAATGTATCTCCTGCGAATTAATAAACACAAACTGTCCCACATAGGGGTTTGGAGCTAAAGCTACTCATGTGACAGAATCAGATATGCAAATAATTTGGATACTAGAATTATTAAACAGAAAATATAACTATGCTTAATATGTTTAAGGGATTAAGAAAAGAAGTGGAAAATATGGGAAAGGAGCATGGAGAATTGAAAAAGAACTAAATGAGCTCCTGGAGAAAAAATATACTACCGTAAATACAAAGTTGAACGGACAACATAGAAAGACAGAAAGATGAAAATATGAAAGAGAGATGAAAATACAGGAAGGACACAGTAAGAAGATCTCATTGATATCTGAGTTCCTAAGAAGAGGAGAGAGAAACAGGGAGAGCAGAAATATTTGAGAAAATCCTGGCTGAGAATTTCCCAGAACATATGAAAGATTTTACTCGACAGATTAGAAATTCCATGGCATCTCAAACATGATAACTAAACACCAATCACAGGTAGACATCAAAATTGTGTCAGACCAAAGACAAAGCAGATCTCAGAAGCCACCAAAGAGCAAATATAGGTTACTTTCAAAAGAATAATGACTAGACTGATTATACCGTCTAAACAGCAAGAGAAGCCAGTGCGCACTTCAAAGTTCAGACAGAAAAAAACTATCATGTTAGAATTACATACCCAGTGAAAATATCTTCACAGAATG